CTCCGAGGAAGGCAGGATCCATCTGATGGATGGCCTAATGAGCTGCAGAACCGAGCCACCCAGTCAGACACTCGAGTGTCCCCGATGCAGCAACTCCAGGTCAGGGACACAGTTCAGACAGAAACATATCTAGAATCCAGGAATCCGCTCAGGGGTTCTGATCCAGACAGGAACAGACAGATCCAGGGTTCCAGGAATCCACATAGCGTGAAGGCAGGTTCAGAGCTTCATGAATCCAGCAGTGATCTCAGGCAGACTTGCAAAGATGCAGACAGGCAGGAGCAGTGGTTGAGGGACAGAGACAAGGCATGGTAACAGGATAACTTCAAAAACTTTAAACTGGTCAATACCTAGGTACCAGGACACAATGAGGAGACAAGACAAACACCAAAACCTCTCCAACCACTGACCTCCGGGGATGGGAACATGAACCTTGGAATAAAGAAAACTAACATAAAAACATCAAACATGATCTGGATATGTAACTGCTGCGCCATCATTCTGAAGGGGTTTTGGCTGCATCCAGCAATACTGGACAGTGCTGTTGGCCTGGGGGGTCTGATGCTGTACCGCACTGAGAGAAACAAAGATCTCTGAGTGAATGGAGGCTCCTCTGAGACTGTTCCCAAGCAATATTCAGCATCTAGAGGGGAAGCACAGCCCTCTGCAGGTGAAAATGAGGAGATCACACTAGATGCTTCCCTTCCAATTCTGAAACATCCCCAGCCGGCTCCTCCTGGCCCCCTCCGGCTTCCACACCTTCTACAGCATCATCTGTCACTGCTAAACCTGCGGATGGCACCACTGCTGCTTCAACCATGTCAGCCTCTTCAACCCAGGGGGCTACCACCCTCAGAGTATCGTCATCATTGTACTCTTCCTGCCCTGAGCCAGGAGAAGCGAGTGCTTCAGGAGCTGGAGGCAGTAGTAGCAGCTCAACAACAACAACTGGTGCTTAACTTATCATGGCTACACTTTAAAAAAAGAAATTGCTAGAGAGATGTTCTAAACGAAAATAAATCTGTCTATGTCATATAATCTGATTGAATTGTCTCTGTAAAGTGCCTTGAGGTGGCATGTTGTGAATTTTCGGTTTGAATTAGTTATAAGAATCTTGATTAGTTTTACAAAAACATGGGTCACTACATTACTACAAAGGAAATTGGTAATGAGGAATAAAAATTTTTTTATTTATCTATTCATCCAGTTCAAATGCCTTTGGCTGATTTATAAATAATATGTAAATCATTGTCATAGGTAGATGAGTGTTCAGTGAGTGTCCACAGAAGCTTCTTTTAAGACATAATATGTGTTCAATGTACCAAAGAAATCCAATCTCATCAGCTGACTAGGATTTGAATGTTTGCTTTCTTTGGAGAAATAACCAGAATCAAGCTTTGCTATTTTTGCATTGATACAATTCTAATAATTTCTTAATTTGATGAAGGTGTTCAGCAACATTTTTGCTTTGCTACAATTAAGCTGGTTAATATGAAATAGTTAAATGGTTCTGAGAAGCAATGAAAACAAAAGCTTGTCTTAAAACTGTGCCTGCTTTTACAAGACCTTTACACAATTATTTAAGGTATCATGACACACCTTCACAGATTTACCTGAAGCTTAACATTTGCATGTGGAAAGGGATTAAGTTCTGGATTTTTAAGGAGACATCTTCATTACTGTCCACAAAAAGAGAGATTCACATCATACCAGCAGGCAGCAAGTAAGTATTTCCTTTGAGTTTAACCTCATGCCTTTTGGATTGTGTAACGCACTCAGTAGTTTTCAGCACCTTGTGGAGCATATGTTTGGGGATTGCTGTTATCAGTCACGGCTGTTGTATTTAGATGACGTTATCATCTTTTTATCACCAGTTGAACAACACTTGGAAAGATTAGATCAGGTATTTTCCAGGCTAGAAGCCAAAGAGGCTAAAGGTCAAGTTGTCAAAATGTCATTTTTTTCCGAAGAAAGAAATATTTGGTCACGTAGTATTAGAAGAGGGGGTCTCTACCGACCCAGACAAGGTAGCACCCGTACGTGACTGGAGGCAGCCTAATACTCCGGCAGAACTTTGTTCATTTTTGGGGGATTTTACTAACAGAGGTTATTTGGGGTTTTTCCAACATGGCTTCCCCTTTAAATCTTCTTGTTGCTAGGTTGCTTCCTCCTGGGAAAAAAGGAGCGTTTGGGTTGCGTCTGGAATGAGGAGTGTGAGCAGAGTTTTTGAAAGCTCAAAGCTGCATTAATAACAGCTCCTTTTCTTGCTTATGCAGAATTCCAGAAGCCATTTATTTTGGAAGTAGATGCCAGTCATGAAGGGTTGGGAGCAGTACTCTCTCAAGATCATGGGGGCAGATTGTGCCCTATTTCGTTTACAAGTTGTAGTCTGAAGTCCACCAAGCGGAACATGAATAATTATAGTTCTTTGAAGTTAGTTTGTTGCTGTTAAAGAAAAATGTAGAGAGTATTTGACTTAAAAAATACCGTCCAGGATTTCCAAATACGAATACAGATGCATTTTCCCATCAATATGTCACTCACAGAGAAGGAGAGGCTGGCTCTGGTTTAGATGAGGGATTTTCTCTATTGAGTACTGACCTCTGTACATTGTGATGCAAAAACCTTATCATCAGTTCTTTAATTAAATTGTGGACCAGGGTTAGGAGGCCTGATGTTTGGGAGAGGAGGCCACCCGGATTTTGGTTCAGCTGTGGCTTAGGGAGCAGGAATCGATCCTTTGTTGCTGTATTTACGCCCCTGATGGGCAGAGTGAGGTTGAGCTGTTTATTTTGCCTCAGTGTTTGCAGGAAGTTGTCATCCGGTCACTTCATGAAGATCACGGCCATAAGGGGATGGAGCGGACCCGCAACAAAATGTTAAAGGGTTAAAATGATCAGAATAAAAGATGTTTATTGGGCTACAGTTAGTTGTTAAATTCACATTTCAGAGCGGTCATTTGTTGGTTTACATTTAGAGAAATTGATAGGTTTCAGCTCAAAGGATTGACAGCAGAAAGATGTTTCATTAATCAGCTGATATTTCCTGTTATTTTCACCTTTTGAAATGAGTTTTATAGCATCTTTAAGAGTTAAAAAATTAAGGGAGAAACCACAAACTTCACAAAGGACATGTGATTTTTATATTTGATATTAGTTATTTAACTTGTATTTAATTTTTTCTCTCTCCAGAAAATCAACCATGAATCAACAAATATCATGGTTAACCCTCATCCTTTTTGGTAAGAATCTTAAAAGTTGCTAAATCCTAAAAAAAAAAAAAAGAGGTGTCAAAATAAGATTCATAGCACGAGGGACAAAAAAAATGACGAAACAAAAATTACATTTAAAAATGAATATATACCATTGAAAATAAATAAACACACTTTTTCATGGCCTTTAAAGGACATGGTCCAGGTAGACCAGGTCCTTCAGAGGATACATCCACCTGATTCAAACACAGCGACTGTGACGATCTATACCATTAGCTCAAATTCACTTTTGTAAGCAGATATCCACCCAGGTTGCCATAAATAATGCAACTATGACACTAAAAGTACTTATTTAGAGAATGGTAAAGATAAAGATAAAGATAAGATAAAGATAGCTTCTGTCAGTGAGCCCCAGGGCAGCTGTGGCTACAATGTAGCTTGCCACCATCAGTGTGTGAGTGTTTGCGTGAATGGGTGAATGACTGAATGTAGTGTAAAGCGCTTTGGTCAAGTCTCCTGACTTGAAAAAAAGTGCTATATAAGTACAGGCCGTTTACCATAAAGGATGCTAAACTACACCTAAAAATTGTTCATCACTTTTTTTTAAACAATTGGAAGCGTTTTACATAATCTCTGTTAAATGTCATTTGAAGAGCTCATTTATTTGAGATTTGTTGATTTATCACTGGATGTGAAGTACCATTTTAAAACTAAATCAATAGGGTTTGTATTCTAAGGATTAAAAGGTCTGCTTATGTACGGTAACGCAATTACAAAGATAATATTTTTTTTTTTCTCCAAAAACATAATGTAGTATTTCGGAAAACGTCACCAACACAGGATATTATATTTACTTGGCAGCACAATTGTAAGAGCATAGCTTCCACCTCGAGGGATTTCTGCAATACAATATACTTTTTCTTGTGAAACAGAATTCTTAAAACACCAAAATTGGAAAATTATTTTACATTCCCCTAAAGAAAATCAACAAATCAGAGAAGGTAAAAAAATATTTTCATAATATAGGTACAAATGAAAATTAACTAAGCATCGGCCTCTTAATGTTGATTTTAAGTATGATGATGATGATGAAGTTGTTAAATACTAGATTTTTTTTTTCTGTGTAACACACTACAAAATTATTAATTTGGTCAACCCATAAGGTGCTCACTAAACCTAAAGCATATTATCTTTTTTAAATCTTCAGGGTTTTGCCTCACCTTCTATTCCAAATTCCCTCTGCGTAAATACTACTACGTTGACAAGTCACTGACCTGGTATGAAGCTCAGCAATACTGCAGCGAGCATTACACAGACCTGGCTACATTTGAGAGCATGGATGACATAAACAGGCTGGAAGCTCCTTTTTCTTATAAATATGCATGGATTGGCCTCTGGGATGACCCAAACTCATGGAAACATCGAATGGGCAATGAGTCCAACTCCTGGAGATGGTCTGCAACTGGAGAAACAAGTAAAACTGGCTACCAATCATGGGGTCCTGGTGATCCTGACTTCAAGAATGGAAAGGAAACTTGTGTGGTGATGTCAAATGAGGGAATGTGGGATGATACAACCTGTGAACACAAGCTCAATTTTATTTGTTACACTGGTGAGAACATTTTATCTCTTCATATACTTTATACAAAGTAATTAAAATTGGTAGAATCTAAAGAAGTAAAGCAAAATACAATCATGTTTGTCTTTTTTAATAAAATATACATTTTCAGGATGGAGTTTGATATAATTTAGTACAACTATCGCATTTTAATTCTGTGTTGTTTTGCAGGTACGGAACAAAATGTAAAACAATATGAGTACATCTCAGCTCTCGAAACATGGGGCTCTGCTCAGACCTACTGCCGAACACACTACACTGACTTGGCAACAATTGAGAACGAAGCAGAAAACCTTGAAGTCAAAAACATGATTCCTGAGAGCGTCAGTGTTTTGATCGGCCTGTACCGCATACCTTTTTTGTGGTCAGACAAAAGCGTGAGTTACTTCCAAAATGATTATCATGATTTCATCCATGATAACATACAAGGCGTTCAACATTGTATCCTGGAGTATCCGTCACATCGCTGGGATGATGAAGCCTGTAATAAAGCTAACGTTTTTGTCTGTCAACAAGGTAATGCTTAAAATAGGCATTTAGAAGCATGTAATCCAGACATCTTATTCATTCTTTTTACACAATTTTTTTGTTTATTAAGTGGTAAAGATGACCACCACTGTAAAGATGGCTACTGTGACTTGTGCCGACCTGACTGATCCAGACATCAGCGCCCAGGTCCTTCAGCAGGTACAGCAAGCCGGTTCTCTGGTTCACTACTATATGTTTTGATAAGTAAAAGGGACTTACTAAAGTGTATTTTGTTTTCCCCAGCTTGGTGCTTTACTAAAAAGTCAGGGATGGACTGATTTCAAGATTCAATGGAAGATGAAACCAAGAAAAATGAGGAAAGAGGAAGGCGGAGCACCTTAGTGTAAAACATTTGGTTGATGTCCCCCTGCAGATGTATGATCCTTGTGTCTGTGGCTTTTTTTTCACTTACATAATAGTTGCACATCATTTGGTCAATCATGCTGCCGATGACACTGGTGTGTTTTTCTTGGTTCATTCAGAAAAAGGAAACTAGGATACTCTCTACACCACCTCATCTGACACCTACTTCACATCAAACCCTGATCTGCAAAAAATCCAAAGCTTTTCATCATGTTAGTTGTTAGTTTGTTTTTTTAAGATTCTGTATCTGTTGAGATATTGAATACGCAGCAATATAAAAAGCAATATTTTGCAAATAAAAAGCAATATTTTCTTCAATTTTCTAATACATTTTATAAATCACTAAACTATAATTAAAAATAAAAGTAAACTAAACTAAAAAACTAAACATTTTGAAAAAGATATTGTGTTTGTTTTCTTGTAGAGGTTTTAGGATGCCTATCTGCTGAGTGAAAGTTTGTAATGTATTCACTGCCTCTGGTGTCACAATGTCACGAGACATTGGAATACAGGCACTATTTATCTGTTTCAAAGAATTCTAGGTATTCTGTGATGCTGTCATTGCTAAAGTTATTGCTGACTGAAATAGTAGTTGAATATGTTATATAAATTATGCATTGTGGCTGAAAATAAACAGAAAGGTTAAGCTTGAATGTTTTAGTTTTTTTTTATCTAATATTTTCCCATTTGGTAGAAAATGTGCACCGTAATAAGTGTCAGAAACCTTGGTCATGGGTCTTGCAACAGAATTTTGACCCAAAACTTACAGCTAAAAACAGCCAAAAAGTAAACATTAGACTATTTTTAAGTGGACTTCTATGAGTCCTGGGGTCCGTTTCACAAAGCAGGTTTAACAAACTCACATTCAAATCTGCAACTCTATACTGATTTAGCATAATGTTTGGAACACTGAGTTTTTGGTTTCACAATGGCTGCCATGAATTAGTTCAATCAACTCCAAGTAGAACCACTCAGAGTTTAGCACGTGCGTAACAAGTATAAAAAGCAGTGGTTCGCCGATTCGACGAGTCACCATGACAACAGGGAACAGGAAGTCAGGGCTGTCAACTCTCAGCCATTGGGCGTGAGATTCACGCATCTCAGTGTCTTCACACACTCTCACTCCATATCATTACAGATATTTAGATAGATACACATATTTATCATTACATACATTTATTAAAAGCAATAAAATAAGATTCTTCCTGGTCAAGAACTAGACTAGACTGAACTGTTATAATATATTTTTTAAATGACTTTTTTGTAGCAGAAATTGAATTTTAGAAAGTATGATATATATATATATATATATATATATATATATATATATATATATATATATATATATATATATATATATATATATATATATATATATACTAGTAAGAATTAAGTTTTTTACAAATAAAATATTCTATAAATGTTTATACATTTAAAGTGGCCGTTTTGAAATCTATCAGGTTGACTGATTATGTCTTTATAATATCTGAAATGCATTTCTTCATACTCATAATAATACAAATGATGACCAGTAATATTAGAAATATGAATATCTCACGTCATCCATAATGTTTATTCTAGATGTGGACAATTACATTTTGTTTGAAATGGTCATTTAGACAAAGAGAAAATGTATTTTTTCAGATATCTGGAACAATATTTATACCAAATAGCATGCCAATATACATACCAAAATGGCTTGCCATAGGCTTTCGTTACTGTGATAATATTACAGGATTATTTCTTGAATGGTAGTGGATCTATTTTCTATTGTTTCTATTTAGGTGAAATCCTCTGGCAGCAGGTGAAGATGAAGAATAAAAAAGTTCTAATAGATGAAACACCATCGTCTGATGGGGTTCTTCAGATTGTTTCTGTCTTGTTTTGCATAGTAAATACTGTCTGTTTACAGCCGCTTCGGATGTTATCATACCAATAAATGAATTTTAATAGATGTTATCAGTTCCATGGAATGACTTCAGATTGTGCCAGTAGACACAGTAGTTGTTATCAATGATTGAATCCTAACCCTTAAGTGATTCCTTTTCCCCACGCATAATTAATTAATCCATTTAAGTGTAATCTGAGAATGATTTCATTAGTTCTTCACGCTTTTGATGTTTTTGGCTCAGTGGAGGGAGCTAATTTTAACGTACTGTTTTTTTCCTGATAACATGCTTTTTTTGCCTCTAATCTACTAAGCTTGCCTGTTCCTCTCTGAACGTTCTACCAGATCTGTCTGTGGACTCCTTCTGTTGATCTACGGACCTCAGCGGCTGCGGGGGGGAGGAGGGGCACCGCCCAATCACTGACACTCTGGTTTAACCGTTCAGTCCATCCTCTCATGGGCGGGCAGGATCCAGAAGATGGACTGCCAAACGAGCTGTGGCACAGAGCTGCCCAGAGTGTCCCCAAAGCAGCAACCTCACTGAGCAGCCAGGGATCCAATCCAGGTCAGGGAAACAGATCAGACAGGAACTGTTGTGGAATCCAGGAGTCCACAGCACGGTCAGGGGTTACAATCCGTACAGGAACAGACAGATCCAGGAATACACAGAGTGTGAAGGCAGGTTAAAGGCAAGGCAAATTTATTTGTATAGCACAATTCAGTGCAAAGGCAATGGAAAGTGCTTTACATGATTAAAATATAGAAAAATAAAACAGTCAAAACAAGTAGGAAAAAAATTTATAAATAAAATAAAAAAATGCAGAAACAAAAAAGAACATTAAAAACAGTTGGACTAAGAAAATAAAAACAGTGGAACTAATGAAGTTACAGTTGAACAGTTTAACTAGAACAGTCGAAGGCAATCCTAAACAAATGTGTTTTTAGTCTTGATTTAAAGGAACTCAGGCTTTCTGCACTTTTACAGTTTTCTATAAAAGTTTTCAGAGCTCCATGCTTCAAGCCATTAGACAGAAACGCACAGATGCAAACAGGCAGGCTCAGTGGTTGAGGGACAGAGACAAGACATGATACCGGAATAACTGCAGAAAATTTAAACTGGTCTCCACCTATGAGCCAGGCTTACAGGCGTAAAACTGTACACCCACCTAGGAGCCAAGACATGATCAGGAGACAAGCCAAACACTAAACACCTCTCAACCCACTGGCTGCCGGGAACAATGACGTCAACATTGGAATAAACCAAATTAACCAAACAAACAATCAAACAGATATCAAACAATGATCTGGCCCCAATAGCGGGCCTGAGCTGATTATAAAGCAGAACGTGCAGATGGATGAGATCAGTGATAATTAGAGACTGGGCAGAGTTAGGCAGGTGAGTGAGATGAACAATTAAGGTCAGCTATCAGGGCGGATCATGACAGCAGGAGTTTGCCCTGCAACCGGAGGGTTGTGGGGCCAAGTCCCAGGTCTGGCTTTCAATTTTGTTGAGTCCTTGGGCTCAAACTATATGTGAAGAGAACTGATGGTGACCAGAGGGCCTGGTGGCGCCTATACACGCCAGCTTCGCTTCTGTCTGTAGGATGGCAGCTGTGGCCACTATGTGGCTTGCCATGATGGTGTGTGTGTGAATGGGTGTACGTACATGTGTACATCTCAACTTTGACTCCTGTACTCTAATCTTAACATCTCACCCTATTTCTCCTGGTGAATTTTAGGAGAAACACTTAAGATAAATCTAAAATGAGGCTGAGATGATAAACTTAAATATGTCTCATGAGCTATTGAAGAGCAAGTCTGAGCAGTAAAAGTTTCCTCAAGGTGTTTGTAAAGGTCATTAATCCAAAATGTGTAAATGTTCATATTATCTTTTATGGATTAATTTATGGATTTTTATGGATTCACATTTGAAACTGCATTTGTCATAATTAATTGCTTACATTAATAGGTCAAGGTATGAGCTATTTAAAAAGCTTGATTGATTTGTATATGGATTTATTAGCTAAACCTAATCTGGTCATACATTTTTATTCTGTGATCATTTGAAAGAACGTCCACTTTTCTTATGCTGTCATATTCTAATCACCAAAGAAAATGGTAAATATTTGTTATCTTAGCATCAGATGAGCAGATCAATGGTCAGACTTCCTCCATAGATAATGAAAATAGGTAACAGAAAATCGCAGTGAAATTCTGTATCTATCTAAAACAAACTTTTACTTGTTTGATTAAGCAATCATGAAAACAGAAACCTGTTCAGAAAATGTCACGTTTTTTTAGCTGAGCTACATCACCGCTCATATTGCTTTCAGTAACCGATAGTTTGAATGGAAACCTGTCAAAGTTGTGTTAACAAGGAAAAGAATGTTCACCAGAGTCAAAGTTTGCATATGAAAATGTTTAAAGCCTGTTGTTTTTCCTTTTTCCGAGGTTTAATCCCTACAGTCTTTGGCTCAGGCAAGTTTTTCAGGCCCTCAGGTGTTCTTTCCGCTGATGAGAAGTACTTTCGATATGGACACAACCTTACTAACTTTTTTTTCTCTTAAAAATACCACAGGAGAGATCTTTGTCCCAACAACCATGTTGTTTTACCATCAACAGCATTTTTACCACAGGACTGCTGCATTATTTCTAGCAAGTTAGGCTCCCACGCAGCAGCTTTTCTACTTCCTAAGAGTGCCCAGGAGGAACAACCTGGAGGGGAGGCTGCTGGTGTGGTAAGCGAGGAGCTCAGCAGCATGAAAGAAGAGTTCTGCAGAGGGTCATCAACATAGCCCAGGAGGTCTTCCCGCTGGAGGACATTGTCAAGTCTTGCAATCACGGCAGAGCTGGAAATAACTTTGAGGATTCCTCCCACCCCAGTAACTACCTAAATGACCTGTTAATGTTGAGCTGACTGTAGAGGTCACACAAAATCAAAGTAAACTAAGGGATACTGTAGCTCCTTTCTGAGATTTATCACTATAGCCAACAGTCATAAAAGCAAATAATCATGTGCCCCTAAATATTACATAAATAAATGAACAATTTCTGCACAGTAACCAAATATACTAAAGTAAAATTAACTGGCTATTCTCATGTTTACCATCTCGACTTCTGCCTA